GCCTGGATAATCTCTGCAGTTTTCTTGGCAAAGCTTTTCAGAAGTGGTTTGCCCTTGCCTCCTCCTTCTGAGTTGGGCTGAGAGAGAGTGACTGGCCCAAAGTCACCCAGCCGGCTTTCATGCCTAAGGCTGGCTTAGAACTCCCCATCTCCTGCTTTCTAGCCTGGTGCCTTCACCACTAGACCAAACTGGCTCTAACAACTAATACAGTTCTTCTAATGCTGCTTCCTGGTGCCTTAGAATTCCCTCTAGAATCTCCCCTCCAATTTATTTTTTCCAAGCCGGACTGCACCATGAGAGTGAGGAATACAGAAACTCCTGTCTGCAGGAAATGGGAGATAATTTAGCTATTTTCTCTCTTCCTTCTGCAGCCTCCAGCACAACTTGTATCTTCTGGATCACTTTTGGAGGGAGCCTAGCAGGCTCCATGGGCAGAAGGCCATGCAGAGAGATGGTCCTCTTCTACTGCATTGAATGAGAAGGAAGGAAAACTTCCTCCATGAGACATTTTCAGCAGCAATTCAGAAGTTTCCACTGGTGCTAACGTGGGAGGTTATGGGTTGTCCAGCCCTGTAACATTCAGGGATGTGCAACAGGGACAAAGATGCAGACACTCCCCCACTCATGGTTTCAATTCCAAGAGAACCTGGAGAATATATGGGCTCTAAAAAGAATTAGAATGTGTGCAAGTCATTCCAGCAATGGGCAACCATCCACATATACGGTAGGAACAAAAGAGGAACAGCAACTAGCCAATAGGGATGCACGAAAGATAGGATTGTTGGACCCTGTGTCATTTCAGTTTAGATTTTATTTGGGAAGGCTCATTTTATTGATTGCGTGGGGATGTTTCCTGTATAACTTGGCACGAACAGGGACTGAGCATAGGAGGGATTCTCCAATGGCATCATTATCTTGCATAAGCAAAAATGCCTGGTCTCACCTTAGTATAACAGAGGGGCAGGAAAACCATGCTCATCCCACCCCCTCAGATCTGTCTTGCAAGACCCCCTTGCTTGGCAACAAAATGAACCAAGGTGGAGTTATTCCACACTGATTTGGGGGTGGGAAATTAAAAAAAAGGAATGGGCTTGACCTTCAAAAAATACCCTTTAAAAGAAAATAGGGGTACAGGTCAAGCACCCCACCTTTCCCAGTGGCCCCTAGCTTCACTGCCCCGCTACGATGTTCAGCAAGTAAGTGGTAGGTTACTCCCTCAAAATGACTGTCCATCTCTGAGATGACTATGAAAACGGGCATTGTTTAATCCGGTATGATGAGGAATGTTTGAGAGGGCTGGTTATTTTTAAGAGAACATTAAGGAGAAATGTGATGGAGGGCTTCAGCTAATGTCACTGAGAAGATGGAGTAAAATAATAATAATAATAATAATAATAATAATAATAATAATAATAATAATAATGGGGTGAAATTAGAGCTAAGCCTAAATAACCTTTCAAACTTCTCCACTCAATCTGTCAGACAAAGTGGATGCTTTTTTCTGAATTTCTCAAGGGCAGGGCTCCTTCTCCTTCATGGAGAAACTCTATCTATGTGGTCGCTAAGAGTCAACAACTTGGTGGCACGTAATCAATCAATCAGGCCTCCTTCTTAGCAGTAAAAAAGCCCAAAGGAAAACTAAGCAACGAAGGCTGCAGGACAGATGCTGGCAAAGTTAGGACCTGCCCACGCACCCTTTGGCCACGCTGTAATTAAACAACCGCAAGAGTACCACAAACCCCCCAAGGACTCTTGTTCCTTTTTTGCCCACCACTAGTGATAAAACCTCACGTCCAAAACGTTTTTGCACAACCGCAAATACATTTGCACAGGCAAGTTCTGTGAACTTTCATTAATCAACCATTCATTTGCACGAATATTATTGTGCAGATATATCACGCAGAACGCATTCAAATATATCCTTGTGATCACAGAAGTCACTGATGGGCAAAACCTTTTTGGCAGCACATAAAAGAAAGAAGAGCCCAACCCACTCCTGATCATTTCTCCTTTAAAACCATTTCTAAAACCAATTCTCTTTCCTCCAACTGAATGACAACTCAGAGAAAAATCTGCAGGAGCTTCATTATCTGACGCTGGCGGAAATAATACCAAAGAGGCATCTGGTTAAACATTATGAGAAATTCCCTAATAATTACAGCGGCTAGAGAGGAATCAGACTGTCTTGAGAGGTACCATGTTCTCTTTTCCTGGACAGAAAGAGAGAAAGAGGCTTTAAAACTGTATCTTGCATCCTAGATCCTATACTGAGCTGTGGGTTGGACTAAATGACTCCAAGAAATATTTTGGCTCAAAACAGCTTACGACTCTGTTTTCTTTCTGTAATTATAATCCACAAATAATAACCCAACCAATTGCACTATACTTCTTTTCATTTAATTATCAACAAACACCTCACCCAACAAATGAGCTGAGATGAAAAACTGCCTAAGGCCACCCTTTGGATCCAAAGTGGGATTCAGACTTCAGCTTTCTGCCAACCAAGTTCACGCCCACCTACTGTGCCGGAGGAGGAGGAGGAGGAGGAGAGGAGGGACTGTTATTCAGTTGTCACAGTACAAGCTTTGCGTACCAGATGTTCCAGGTTCAGGCTGCGGCATTTCCCATTAAAAAGATCAGGGAGTAGGGCTTGGTGAGCTGCTGACTGTCAGAAGAGAAACAGCAAGAAGGATGGAAATACAGTGGTACCTTGGTTCACGAACTTAATTCATTCCACGATTCTGGTCGTGAACCAAATTGGTCGCCAACCGAATCAAATTTTCCCATAAGGTTCAGTGTAAATAAGGTGAATCCGTTCTGAACCATGTTTTTTTTTTTTTAACCACAAAAATATGAAACAAAGTACAGGCAATCTCACCTATAGGAGGCCACGACCACATGTCAGAGCAGGGAAGACGGCCGTGGGTCATGTTCGTCACCCGATGCGGAGTTCGCAAACGGAAGCAAACTTTTGCA